CACTTCATATTCCTTTCTTTTACTTTTAACAATCTTGATCTTTAATCCCTTTTAATAATGTCTTAAAAGAAATATTTTCATTTTTTCTTTGTCCCTTCTCACAAAATTCTTCAAAACTTTAACAAGTTTCTTTTGTAAATCCAATATAGGAAAGTTATCCTGGTCACTCTTTTGCTTTGTTATTTGTATATCCCTTTTAATTCTTAAGGCATCAGCTGGTTTCATTTGTATATCCAGTATAGCATCTTTTTCCATATCATTCTTGTAGCCACTTTCAAATCAGTCTCAATCTTGTCTGGTAAAACTTGTTCTTCTTCCATAGCATCTTTTAACCACAGTCTGTCCATAGTGGCAGACACTCATAAAATTAACTTCTGGGTCCATTGTTGACAAATATCCTTCTATACGTCCAATGTTAAAGTATTTTGCTCCATTCTGTATTAATAAGTCAAATTTAAGTGTTCTTCTCCTTTAACTGTAATCTTTAGTTCCTTCTGATTCCCTCTAGTGTCTAACCTTCAAAGTCCCATCCTATCATTGTTTTATTTTTTTTATTTAAGAATTTAAAATAACAGCATTTTCCCACGGGAAGGATTCTTATAATTGATTTCAAAATCTTATTTCAAATCCATCTGGACCCTTAGTCCATTTGTAACTTTCCAAAATCAATGTTCTAATCATTCTTTTGCTGTTTATTAAAAAAAATTTTTTTAAATGCTTAAACTTGTACCAATAAAAGAGAATATCTATAGCTCAGGATTGAACTGTGGAGTCCTTGGAGTTCTCTGAGCTTGGTTGTTTTCTTGCAGACGTTCTGTTACCCGACTAGGTAACATCTTCAGTGCTAGAAGGGAGTGAGGTTTGCTCTCTGTTTATAGTAGCTTGTCCTGTCAGTGTTGGAGGGGGTGTTCTTTTTCTCCTTGGTACAGTAGTTCTTTGATTAGGCTGTTGTTCACTGCTAGATTGTTTGCACTGAAGATGTTACCTAACCATAACTTGAAACTACTTGTTTCAAGTTATGCCACATTTCAATTGGGTTAAGATTTTATAGCCCTTTCCAAACCTTGTGAGAACCAACAACCCTTTTTCTGAAGTCCCTTGAATATATAGATAGCCCAAATATATTGATGAGTTGAAGCTGTTGCTGTAAAGAGGTATAGGCTAAAATACTTCAAAGCCAATGTGTGAGACTGATCAAAAGGCATGACTGGAAGTGAGGAATTCAAGCAAGACAGTCCCAAAACATTAATGAGTTGAAGCAGTTCTGTAAAGAGGAGATGATGCATGGAATAGATTGATGGGCACAGAAAACGTTGGGTCGAAGTCAGTGCTGCTAAGGAGGTACCACCTAAAGCTTTACAAATTTTTCCCAGTAAAGACAATGAACTTGATGTGTTCAGTTAAAACATGTTACAGTAAACTATTTTGTGTTTTGTTTGTTTACCAGAATCTCTTTCCGGATTGAACTAGATAAAGTTCAAGTCACATTGTACTGCAGGAGTTTGGATAGTTCAAAAGGATTCACAAATTTTTGTTTTATCACCATACTAATAATACTTTTTTCCTTCTGGATAAGACCCTATTTTTTCAGAATTATATACATCTTATAAAATACATTTTAGAAAATTAATGCTGTAATGATTGGCCTACAGTTTAACTGTAAATTGCCATTGCTTCCCTAATCACTCTCGTTTGGTAACAGATTCTGACTTTAAATGGAGTTGTTTAAACTACAAAAATATATGGAAAACAATAGGGGTTTTAGATTCTTAATTTGATGCTTGATTACTACCCATTCCTAGCATGATTGTTCTTGAAAACTAGACTGCACACTACTGATTAGACTTGTCAAAAGCAAATAAAAATGCCCAGAGATGTACATTCTGGCAAGGGGAGGAAAATAACTAATCCCATAGCAGTTTTTTGTTCATTTGCCTTTATTTTTTCTTTGCATATACTCATACAGCTGAAAGGATAGGCCATTCTAAGTTTTAAAAAATTCAACCAGAATTGCCAGTGACTTAGCTTTTTTTCTTAAAAGGGGCTAAAACATTAAAACCAAATCAAGATCCACAGTCAATCTTGCACATATTTACTTGAAATAAGTCTCCCGTTGTTTATTAAGGATTTTCCCCAAGTATAAATGCAAGAGATGGCATTTCTAATTTCCTCAGCAGTAAATTAGCAAAGTGAAATCTGTATGTGAAATTTCTATTCATGGTACATTATTTTACAAACATCAGGATATTAGCTAACTTTTCAAGTATTTGTTGAATACCTGTTAAAGAAGAGTGTGAACCATCTCTAAAGTTTGAGAGCCCAGCTGTTATTTTAGAAGTCATACCTACTTTTTTCAGAAATAGCAAACAGCATCATCCTCAGTTCAACTCAAAACTGAATTCTGTGTATTTTATTTATTTATTTTTATTCATTTATTAAATTTATCCCCGCCCATCTCCCCCTAATGGGGGACTCTGGGCAGCTTACAACT